ATATGTGTGCCTAATATAGATGGGCTCAGGGAGTTGATTCTTGAAGAGGCCCACAGCTCGCGGTATTCCATCCATCCGGGTGCCGCGAAGATGTACCAGGATTTAAGGCAACACTATTGGTGGAGGCGGATGAAGAAGGATATAGTTGGGTTTGTAGCTCGGTGTCTCAACTATTAGCAGGTTAAATATAAACATCAGAGACCGGGTGGCTTGCTCCAGAGGTTAGAGATCCCAGAGAGGAAATGGGAGAGAATCACCATGGATTTCATAGTTTGGCTCCCACGAACTTCGAGAAAGTTCGATGCTATTTGGGTGATTGTGGATCGGCTGACCAAGGCCGCGCACTTTATTCCAGTTGGTACTACTTGCTCTTCAGAGCGGTTGGCGGAGATTTATATCCGAGAGATTGTTCGCCTGCATGGTGTCCCAGTTTCCATCATCTCAGATAGGGGCACTCAGTTTACATCGCAGTTTTGGAGGGCCATGCAGCGAGAGTTGGGTACTAAGGTTGAGTTGAGCACAGCTTTTCACCCTAAGATGGACGGGCAGTCCGAGCGCACTATTCAGATATTGGAGGACATGTTGCACGCTTGTTTCATTGACTTTGGGGGTTCATGGCATCAGTTTCTGCCACTCGTAGAGTTTGCATATAACAACAGTTATTAGTCGAGCATTCAGATGGCTCCGTACGAGGCTTTATATGGGAGGAGGTGTAGATCTCCAGTAGGATGGTTTGAGCCGGGTGAGGCTAGGCTCTTGGGTACAGACTTAGTCCAGGATGCATTAGATAAGGTGAAATTGATTCAGGAGCGGCTTCGCACGGTGCAATCTAGGCAGAAGAGCTACGCGGATAGGAAGGTCTGTGATGTGTCTTTTATGGTTGGGGAGAAGGTTTTGCTGAAGGTATCACCCATGAAGGGTGTGATGAGGTTTGAGAAGAGGGGAAAGTTGAGCCCCGGTTTATTGGGCCTTTTGAGGTGCTTCAGAGGATAGGGAAGGTGGCTTATAAGCTTGCCTTGCCACCCAGCTTGTCTAGTGTGCATCCATTGTTTCATGTTTCCATGCCCCGGAAGTATGTTGGTGATCCGTCCCATATTTTGGACTTCAGCACAGTTCAGTTGGAGGCTGATATGACTTATGATGTGGAGCCGGTAGCCATTTTGGATCGGCAGATTCGGAAGTTGAGGTCAAAGGATATAGCGTCAGTGAAAGTGTAGTAGAGAGGTCAGCCTGTGGAGGAGGCCACCTGGGAGACCGAGCGGGAGATGCAGAGCAGATATCCATACCTATTCGAGACTCCAGGTATGTTTCTAGACCCGTTCGAGGACGAACGATTGTTTAAGAGGGGGAGGATGTAATGACCCGGCCAGTCATTTCGGGAGTTATAGTCCCGTTTTTCCCATTTCTGCTTCCTTTAGTTCTTTTCAGCTATATTATGATATATCGGGTTAGTTGGTTCGGGTCCGGGTGGTTTCAGAGTGGATTGAGATACTTAGTCTCTAAAGTAGAAGCTTAAGTTGGAAAAGTCAATTGGACGTTGACTTATGTGTAAACGACCTCAGATTTGAATTTTGATAGTTCTTCTAGCTCCGTTAGGTGATTTTGGACTTAGGAGCGCATCCGGAATGTGATTTGGAGGTCCATGGTAGAATTAGGCTTGAATTGGCAAAAGTTGAAAATTTGGAGATTTTGGTCGGTAGTGGAAAATTTGATATCGGGGTCGGAATGGAATTCCAAAAGTTGGGATAGGTTTGTGGTGTTATTTGTGACTTGTGTGTAAAATTTGAGGTCATTCGGACGTGGTTTAGCGGGTTTCGGCATCGCTGGTGGAATTCAGAAGTTTAGGAGTCCTTAAGCTTGAATCCGAGTATAATTTGGTGTTTTGATGTTGTTTTGAGTGTTCCGAAGGTTCGACTAAGTTCGTATATTGATATATGACTTGTTAGTGTGATTGTTTGAGATACCGAGGGCCTTGGGTGAGTTTCGGGTGGCTAACGGATTGATTTTTGGTGTTGAAAGTTGCTGATTCTGCTGGTGTTGAGGTTGCTGGTGTTTTTCGCACCTGCGGATGGGGAGCTGTAGGTGCGAGGTTGCAGGCGTGCGCAGAAGTTCGTAGGTGCGGACGGGGTTGAAGTAGGCTGGGTCCGCAGGTGCGTAGGGGAGGTCGCATCTACGGGTCCGCAGATGCGGATAGGCGCCCGCAGAAGCGAAAGTGAGGAGGTTAGCTAGCATCCGCAGGTGCAAGGTCTTTTCCGCACCTGCGTGGTCGCAGATGCGGATATGGAGCATAGGTGCGAAGTTGGGGTAATTAATGATTTTTTGCAGGTGCGGAGTTTCTTGCACAGATGCGGCATCGCAGGTGCGCATATTTGGCCGCAGGTGCGAAAGTCGTGGGCAGAAAGTATAAAACGAACACTTCGCGAATTTTGGTTCATTTTCACCATTTTCAAGTCGGTTTTTGGAGCTTTTGGAGTGATTTTAAAGAGAGATTTAGGGGGTTTTCATTGAGGTAATTTGCTTGAGCTCTAATACTCCTATCTATGGTGATTTCCCATTATTTAATCATTTAATTAGTGGAATTTAGAGGTGAAAATAAGGGGTTAGGGCTTGGGATTTTTGAGAGTTTGATGGGAGGATTTGAGGGATCAAACGGTGTCGTTTTTTAATAAATTTTGTATGTATGGACTCGTGAGTGAATGAGCTTTCAAGTTTGTAATTTTTGTCGGATTTTTGAGACGTGGGTCCGGGGGCGGGTTTGAGCCAATTTCACGTTTTTGGTCTAAGTTGGTAGTTTTTCCTGTGGAATTCATTCCTTTAGCATAAATTGATGGTATTGTACTGATTGTGAATAGATTTGGAGCATTTGGAGGCCGAATCGAGGGGCAAGAGCATCGCGGAGTAAGGATATGATTGGTTTGAGTTAAGTAACGATTGTAAATCTGGTCCCGAGGGTATGAAACCTCAGAATGTTATATCATTTTACTATTTGGAGGTGGCGCACATGTTAGGTGACGGGCATGTGGGCGTGCACCGTTGGGGATTGTGACTTGGTCCGTCCCATATCAAGTGTAAAGTTGAATATTTTGTTGAAACTATATGATTCTTATGTGTTTTAGAACGAATTTCTGTAAATCAGGTTGGATGCCATGTTTAGGCCTTATGCCAGTGTTGTTTGGACCCTTAGAGGTCTTTTCTTGCTATCCTCTCATTGTTTTTGATTGAAAATCTATACTCAGTCATGTTTATACATACTTACATCATAACTCAGTCTCTATTACTCTATTTTGATGCATCATATAAATATTGTTTGTGCTGAATACTTTATTTTCTGAGAGCCCGAGAGGCTGGAGAGGTTTATGACTGAGTGAGGCCGAGGGCCTGATTTGTGAGGATATTTATGGGATCGGGCTGCATGCCGCAGCATGTTTGATATAGGCCGAGGGCCTCATTGATTTATGCCATGATTGGCTTGATATAGCGCTTGGGATGAAGGAGCCCTTCCGGAGTCTGTACACACCCCCAGTGAGCGCAGGTACCTACTGAGTGCGAGTGCTGAGTGACTGGGAGGGATGAGTGATGGTGAGGTCTGCCCGAGGGACTGTATACGAGTGATTGTGAGGTTTGCCCGGGGGGCTGTATATGCGTGATGTTGCCTGAGGAGACTGATTATGATTTCATTATTTTTGCTCACCTTTGCATTGAGCCTTTGTTTGAAAACTGTTGAAAGATGTCTTTAAATGATTTTACTGGAACTGGGTTTAAAAGAACTGATTTGATTCAAACTCTGGTTTTAAAAGCATGCTGTATTTTACTGAATTTTTGTGATATGAACTTTACTTGCATTATTGCTCGTCATTACTTCTCAGTCTTTATTTACTGTTGTTACTTACTGAGTTGGCGTACTCACGTTACTCCCTGCACCTTGTGTGTAGATCCAGGAGTATCTGGACACGGTAGTGACTGTTGACTATTCTGGTTACAGATTTTCTCGGGGATTGCAAGGTAGCTGCCTGACGATCGCAGCCCTGCTCTTCTCCCTCTTATCTTCCTTTAGTTGTATTTAGCTATTTTTCAGACTATGTTAGTCTCGATATTGTCAGACAAATTATAGTTGATGCTCATAACTAGTGATACTCCGATGTCGGACTTTTCTTTTCCGCACTTTTGTTTTGAATTGAACTCCTTTACGAAGGTTTTTATGTTAAATAGCCTTGAAATTATCTTTGAAATGAAAACATCGGTTTGTTTTGGAAATGAGTCGGCTTGCCTAGTTCCACGATAGGCGCCATTACGACAGGGTTAGTCTGGGTCGTGA